ATGAGAAAAATTCTGAGGATTGGGATGAACCTCAGGGGAGCAGCAGGATGAATTACCTGAAGACGTTAGGGGAGAAAATGATGAAATGTCTCAATGGCAGTATGAGGCTGAATTCCCAACTCTTTCAACCAAAACTGCTGACAAAAGAAGAGGTGGAGCACTATACAAGCTCCTTGGATGAGTGTCAAGAATGCTGGAGACACCAGGACTATTCTTCAAAAAGCCAAACAGTTCAAAGAGGTTCAGAACATGGAGGTCCACAAAGATCCTTGTAAGAACCCCATGCATTTTTTTCCTTTTTAACAACCATTCCTTTATTTCTGTAGCTTCCAAAAATTTTGTGGATGTACAGATGGCTACCATTAATGTTGCAAACCATGAGGGCATTGTTGCCTCTAAATCTTTGACTTCTGATAGAACTGTTGGTTTTGATGCAGAATTCACAACACCCACTAGAACTGCTAATAGCCATTATGCCAATACAGTAGATGATAGTAGCTCATGTATTAATTCTGAGGAGTTGTGGTATTTGGTTTGTAAAAAAAAAGGGCAAGAACCCTGAGACTAAGTTGTTATCATGAATGCCTTGTTCTGGAATGTTAAAGGGATTGCTACCCCGAGTAGGAAATCTTTGATAATTGATACTATTAACAAAACACATGCTTCCATTTTAGGTTTTCCGGAGACAAAAAGGGAAGAGTTCTCCGACTCTTACGTGAAATCTCTAGTTGCTAGTAGAAACATTTCATGACACCACCTTCCATCTAAAGGCTTTGCTGGTGGCATCCTGGTGGGAGTGGATGGGCATGCCGTTGATGTAATCTCTCGGTCATGTCTAGATTTTTCAGTTAATTTTGTGTTGAAACTAAGAAGTAGTGATGTTCCTTTTAGAGTCATTAATGTATATGGCTCACCCTATGAAGATGGGAAAGAGGCTTTATCCCTGAACTGCACTCCATGTTCATTGAAACCCATTTGCCTACTATAATAGGGGGATTTCAATCTTGTTAGGTGTGCTAAAGAGAAAAGTAATTGAGCTATCAATCATAAGTGTATTGATAACTTCAATGCTTGGATTGAGATCTGGAGCCTACTAGACATCAAACTCTCTAGTAGAAAATTCACTTGGGAAAACAATCAGGTTGACCTGATTATGTCCACTATTAATAGGTTATTTTGTAATACTGAACTAGATAAAAAAATTCCACTAGCAGCTTGTAGAGCTCTACCTAGGTGTGGCAGTGACCATGCCCCATTATTGGGGACTCTCGGGTGAACCAAACTCCAAATAGTAGAAGTTATAAGATGGAAAAAAGGTGGCTACTAATGAAAGATTCCTCTGACCTCGTTGCCATGTCTTTTTGGTCTTTTCGAGTCTCATGGGGTACTAGTAAATGCTTTTGAAGAGAAATAGAAGCACTAGAGAGCTCAAGTTCACTTCATTCATCATAAGATGCAAATGATAATAAAAATGGAGCTAATTAGGAAGAAATGACTTCTACTTAAACTTAAATAGTGAAATACCAACCAACACACAAAGCAATAACTCGATAGATTGAATGATAATTTGGTAAGAAAAATTAGGAAGCTCATGAAAACCAAGGTTGGAGCTCCAATGAAAAAGCCAAACTTAGGAGATATAAAATAATCATTTTGGATGAATATGATAAATTAGACATTCAGGCAAAGACTGTGAACCTCTCTGAAGCTGAATTCTCCAGATTTAGATTCTTTCATGCTGAACTTCGGAAAATTTGGCTTCAAGTGAAAATAAAGGCCAAGCAAAGGTTTAGGGACAGGGATGTGAAAGAGAGTGATAGGGATACTGCTTACTTCCATGCAGTAGCTAACCAGAGGAGAAAAACTGTTATACATTCCCTGGATGGCCCTATCACTGACACAAAATGTTAGAGATAGCTAGCAATTTCTATAAGGCGACTGATAGGCGCCCACGTGCCAGCCAGAAATTTTGGTCGGTCCCGTGTGGGCAATTCGATCTTCCTAATACGGAGCCCCGCGGAACCGTTTGATCACACTCATAT